GAGCCACCAACTGATAGAATTCTTCAGTATAATCATTGACTGATCTTGCGCCTTGCTTTAGTGAATGGAGCCTCTGAAACAAGGTTTGAGTATAGCCGAAAGGGAGGAAGTGCCCTCTCATCTTCTTCTTCATCTTCTCCCAGTTAGTAATTTTGGAATTCCCCTATCGCTCCCGTGAGCGCTTCAACTGTTCCCACCATGCAGATGCCCTACCTTTGAGTTTGATGGCGACTAGTTTCACTTTAACACGATCTGGAACCTCCTTATATTCAAAAATCCGCTCCACTTCATTCAACCAATCAATAAATCCTTCAGCCTGCAACGTACCAGAAAACTCGGACAGATCCACTCTGAAACCGAGATCCACATGACGATCCTCCCGTCCACGATGCTTCCAAACTCGAGCACGATGGTGATACGGGTTTTCAAAACTGGTATCGGAATCGTGACCTTCCACATCATGATTACCGAACTCCTGTTCCGCCAAACGTTGGGTTAACTCCGCAACTTGTCTCTGCAAATCTTCAATCGTCACATCCTGAATATTACAATCACGGTGCGGGACTTCTTCAATCGGAACCTGTCCTCGACGACCACGACCACGTCCACCAACCATTATAACTGATGGAATTTATCTCCCAAGAAGATGCTGACGCTCTGATACCAACTGACGCCGGGTAGGATAGTGATTATCCTATTGGCTGGTTGTAGCAGATGATTCGCAAGAAAAGAACGATAGAAAAAGCCCAAAAAAAACAGAGAAAATACTCTGAATTCAACTCAATATTATTAATAATGCAGAATGCTGAAAACTAACCCACAGGCCGGGTTAAATAGCTGCGAAATACGAAATTATTGGAAAATTACCAAAAATGGCAAAATCCCGAAATTATACCCAAATAAAATATTAAGTAAAAGAAGTAAGTTGCCAAAAATTTGGCTTAATTCGAGTTCTCTAACATATAAAAAAAAGGAAACTAAATATTACCATAAATAGTAAAAATAACTTAAAATTGAATTTTGAAAAGGAAAACAGTGGATTTTGGGCTTGAAATTGACGTCCACGACGTGCGCACCGAAGAGAGCTTTCCGAATTGGGGTCATAATAGCGATTCCGATAACCGTAGCCAAAGTTATGGCCAAATTACCAAAGACGCGTCAAAATCTCCCAATTAAGAAAATAATGGTGATTTACTTTCCATCTTTGCGCCGATCCGCCATCTCATGGTATCTCAGCGCCATCATCGTGCAATCTGACAAATCAGCATCACTTAACTCGGATCCTCCTGCATCATATGGGCCCAGGCAAGGGTTAGTATAAATAATATGTTGTAATCCTATTTTTAATAATTGAATAAAGAAATCTCCGCTTAGCTCCCGTGGACGTAGGCACATTACCGAACCACGTAAAATTCTTGTGTTGATTTTCGTTTTCATCTCTTTAATATTGCGCATAAAATCCAACAATTTTCTTCCAGTAGCGAATCTAAAAGGCACTATTGTATTTTTTTTGCCTTTAATAAAACATGTCACCCTAAGTGGTTATTTAGAAAGAAAAAAATAAGAGAGAAAAATAAGATGAAAAACATTTTGGATGTTTGCGTAGTCAGGAGCAAAATAACAAATGAGAATTGAGTAGTAGTCACCAATCTTCTAGAACTTGTGATAGTTCAGGAAAAATGTTGTACAAGTAGAACTCTGACAACAAACCATCTAAACCTTCTTTCCAATAAAATTTGTGGCTAGTTACAAAATCATTTTTTCCCACTCTGTTCAACATCTACCAAAAGTTGTATAAATCTTGCTTAATAACAAAATTTGCCATAATGTTTTAAAAATTGAAAGAAAACGTTATCAAGCAGGATTGTTAATATCAAAAACCAATAAAAGGCATAAGGCATCCATCTCCAACTATTTTGGTCCAATTCAAATATTGATTAAGTTTGGGAATAAGACATCCATCTTCAACTATTTTGGTCCAATTCAAATATTGATTAAGTTTGTGACCAGCGCCATTATCAGGAGTATGGACCACTTGACCTATCACGATGACTTCATGCCCTTGTACAAGTTGACCGATATGGATTTCCTAGTATTACAGGATATTAGTTTGCTACTCCCTTACTTTCTTTGTATATGAAGTAGTACTTCCCTATTTATTTCATTCTTTTATATGTTGCATTTTTCTGCTTTTGGGAAGTTAGGTTTGTGTCCCCTTCCTTTTGTTCACGTGGGTTTGATTTTATATACAGTTGGGGCATTCTAACCCCATCAGACTTCCGTGGTGAAGCCCAAAAACTCACTGAGACTATGTTGATGTTTTGCTTAAAAAATAAAACTAAAAACTCCCTAGGTTTACAAAGAAGTTCGAAGAATTCCGTCTCTAATAGTATCAGAAAACTAGGCCAATATGCTTCTAATAATTAGGAAATTTTCTGTTTTATTAGTAGATTTTCAAAAATTTAGAAAACATTGTTAGTGTGATGAAGAATAACCACAAGACGTTATTAGAAAGTTGTCCACAAAATGCTTACCCACCAACAGGTAACATAAAAAACATCAAACTATGTTCTCCATTCTAAGAAATGGTACTAAAACCATTCCTGTCTCCGAAAAAATTTTGAGAAGTGGTACAAGCCCAAGTGCTCAGTAGTGTCACCATGTGAGACTAGGTTTTCAAACTGTCACATTAATAGACCATAAAAGTTTTTATTTTATTTTTTTCAATTTCATTCAATTCTTGTTCTTAAAGAGAGAACCAAACCAGAAAAGGGCAAAGTCGACAAGCCTGATTTCACCAAATGCACATAGCTCAAGGAATACATCTATTGGTGCTACTTAAAACTTTTCACTCTCCTACAACTGATTTTTTTCATATACATACAAATATATACACACGTACACACATGTACACCCACATTATTATTTTACTTCAGATGCCTCCTTCCTCTCTGAACAGGTCAAGAATATGTCATCCTCCAATCTACAATCTATATAGCAACTTAACTCCTCTGTCTACAGTTTTTTAATACCAACTTCCCCTTGGTAAATTAAATAACAGCATACATACGAATCTGCTACATGACTCCATAAGACGCTGCATTAAAAATTGAACAACTTGTGTTTTCAATATTCGCCCCTGCACATTACTTTTTCACTACGCAATAATGAACATGCCATCTTCCTAAATCCAAATTTTATCCCAAAAAGAAAGAAGGTAGATTGAGGCTTTAGAGAAATCTGATTACCAAGTTGTTTTGCAAAGCTCAAGCCTATGGACAGGCCAGATTTTACAAACAATGTAATCTAGGAAACATTAAAATAAAAAGATGAACAAAATGCAAGTCAGCAAGATTTAATTTTTCTTCTTTTCATAGAAGCATTCTTATTATAACCTAGAAAAATTCAACCATAGTTGCACAAATAAAGCCAGGAAAAGACCATAAATCTATCAGATATGTATAAGAAACTGATGTCAGGGCAAAAATAGAAACAGAAATTTGTACAAAGACAAGGAATGCCTTCATACAAATTTCATCAAGTCAGCAGCATTCAAGTGGGATACATACATACATGACACTGCCTATTTTCTTAATAGATAATGTATCATTTGACAACAGATTCTAGAGAAATTCATCCTCGAGGCTTGTCCAAAATAAGTTAAAAGAACAGCAAGAAGAACCATTTTGTGACCTTCCCTCTGTAAAGATTCCTTCTCGTCAGAGTTTCAGTGGAACATAAATAAATTATAAAAATACTCAATGTCAAACTCTACTAACATATCTTTCTAAGAGTTTAGACAAGGATTGATAACCTAATCGCAAATATGAAATCAAAGATCTGAACTTAATGGCAGGCTGGCAGCAAAGTAAAAAAGAATTTGAAGAACTTCAGGCAATCTTTTATAGTGTCTAAAAAATTACAAAGCTGCTACTCATTCAACTATCAGAAATGTATACAGCACCATGATATCTTTGCAATACAAACAAGGTGCTAACATAAACACTGAAGACCCCTTCAAAGCAAGTAACTATCTTCGTCAACAGATATATTTGCAATACAAACAAGGAACATAAACGCTGAAGACCTCTTCAAATCAAAGCAAGCTAAAAAATGCCGCATGAGAGAATGAACAAAAATACAACCAATATATAAATTATTACAGTCAATAAATATGATGAGGATAGATGAGCAAATATACAAGTTAACAGCGTAAATAAAATGCAAAGAGAACAAAACCTGAATATATGCAAGTACATCCCCTGTCGCAACTCTTGCCCCATCTTCTTCTTGTCTTAACATCCAATTATATAGTTTCTCCTACATCAAAATAGAAAACAACGGGCCAAGGTCAAGTGTAAAGCTTTATCAGTTAACAAAGAAAAGGGGGAGGAAGGGTAGAAGGCTAGAAATAAGGCTTTGTACTTCAGCTACGATATCCCACACAGCAAACCAACATGCTAAGATAAAGGTTCAAAGTCAAGTCCGTAAATGAGAAACAAGTGATTAAATAAACATTATGAAACTTTTGCACATATAAATATGATAACCAAATAGCAATTAAGCCCTTGTTTGAGCCCCAATTCTTCTAAAAATTCATTTTTTTCCAAAACTCATTTTCAACAGTACATTTTTCAATAAAATAATATCACACGCAAATTAAAAACTTTTTCTTAACTTTTAACCACGTATTCTACATCAATCTACTATTCAAAATTCATTCTTTACCCCCAAAATGGGAATCAAACAAGGGCTAAATTAATGATACTTAATGGAAGCCTGGTAAAACGAACCAGTTTTCCAGTGATTTATACGTACAAATTATTTAGATTCCTATTCGAAATCAGCAAAAGGTCAACAAATTTAGGATGATAAAAACACAAAACTAATACACATCATCAAAAAACGGTGAAATTAAAAACTACAAACCCATTTAAGAAAAGCTTAATTAAACAAAATCCATAAAGTAAAACCGGAAAAGAATTGCGATACAAGTCGGTGAGGGCTGACCAGCGCCATGACGGTCACCGGCACGAACAAGCATACAATTTATCCATACAAGTGAAATGAAAAAGCAATACCCTCAAAAATAATTGCAGACCAATTGAAGAAAAAAATAAAAATAAACCATGAAGTAAAACCGACAGAATTTGTGGATAGGTATTGACCAGCGCGTGGCGTTCACCGGCCTGAAAGGAGAGTCTCTGGTGGTGCATGGCCTGGCTGTAGAGCTGAGAGAGGGAGTTAGCCGCGCTACAGAAGGAGGAGTACATGGTTCGATCCACCTCATCCAGCCTCGAATCGGATTTTCTCTTCTTCGCCATTGTTGAAAACAAATTGAAATTAAAGATCCTCTTTATCAAATTATTTCACAAAATCCTAGAATGCTCGGATTGCATAAATATGTAACTCGCTATTTTGGGTCTGGGCGATGAGAATCGACACGAGGCTTCTATAGAGAGAGAGAGAGAGATTGCTGGTTCCAGTTGTGCTTTAGGTACGACACGTGGCATGCTTATTTTTCAATGAATCAGGCTCGATCACGACTTCATGACATAGCTTCGGTAACCCAACACGACAAGTGTTGTGAGTATTCCATTCTATGTTGCTCTTCAATAGTACCACTCAGATTTACTGATTTGACAAAAATTTTAACAAAATGTCATATGACAACTTATTATCAAATTTTTTGTCCTCAAATCCAAATTCTTGATTGAGGCCTAAACTGTGTTCCTGTTCAAGTATTTGTCCTCGGCTCTCGAGTAAGCCTCAATTATTGAGGCGTCCCCATGAATAGGTTAGCCTTGGAGATCGGGAACAAGTTTATGGACGAGACACGTGGACACAAGGTAGGAACCTTAGGTGTCTAATGTGAAGTCCAAGTAGGCCATAATTATTCCATCGTTTAACAAGCACATGTTCCCTCTAATGATGGTTTTCGTCCAAAAGTTCATTTAAAAAAAAAAAAAAAAAAACACTTATTTGCTTCTAATATTTTTGAATAAGCAAAAAAAGTTCAACAAAATGTTTGTCCCTCATTTCAAAACACAATAATAGAAATTTTGACAGAAATCGATATCGAAGACATGATATGCTAATTAATTAAATGTTATGAACAAGAATGTAATGAAAAAAGATTTGACGATACAGATGCAAAAATGAGCTAAGTTCGAAGACCTTGATTGTAATTCAAATTTGTTGAAATCTTTAAAAGCTATAATATGAATGTAATTAAGGTAATCGTATGCATACTACAGTTTTTATGAATGCACCACATTTTAATTACACTTAAGATCATGAACCATATCTACCTTATGTCCATTACTATTTCGTTCAATTCTTATCTTCAACCTTCCAATAATTAGCATATTTTGACCTTGATGATGATTTCAATCAAAATGATATGTTTTCATGCTTTAAAATAAGAGAAAATATATTATCGCATTTTTGTATTATTTGTAATTTTCTATATAAGATGAACAAATAAGTAAATTTATGCCCTCCGACCAAACTTTTCGAACAAAAACCATTATCAGAAGTGGGATGTGTTAACAAATGAAAATTAAGGATAAAAATGCATTGAAATATGTTATGGACATCAATGCTATAAGCAGAAATTGAGGATATCATATGCAATTAGCATGTGGTGCAATTAATAAAAACTATGATATCAATATAGTTACCCAATTAACTATCCATAACTTATTTTGTTGTGCATTGTTATAAACATATTATTTCTCAACAATACTTTTTTTTATTATGATGTTTCCCATTATAGAAAGCACCAGTCATACATATATTGCAATTGAAGAGTCCATGCTGTTACCTCGACTTAACTATACCCTCAGCTGTCTTACCACTTAAATGTTGATGACTGACTATAATTTCGAGTTGTCAAAATTTTAGTGATGTAAAATTTTTATTTTTTACATCACATAAACTATGTTCATTAAAATTTTCGACAACTCAAAATTGTGATGAGTTGTCAACATTTAAGTAGTGGGATAATGAAGTCGAAACAATAGATTAAACTCTCAATCGACAATCATGGAGCTGCACACAATGCTACCTAAAGAAATTATTGAGTTGAGATGAAGCTTGAGAATCCTCTTCATCAAGAGATGGAATGTGTACGTGCCTTCCTTCTTATGAAGTAATCACCATTCTTGGATCTTCTGCTAATCATTCTATGCATTTCTTTACACGATAATTGTCATGTATACGACAAAATAACTCCTACAAATTACATACTATGAACATATTAGTTGAATCGGAGTGTATTCACTTCTTTTATATGCATAATATTTATCGGAATACCCTCAAGTTTAGATTTATTTTTTTATCGAAGAATAGACAACTACACAATTTTCCTGGATGAATGGCAAGATCGTTGATCTTAAAGAAAAACCGAATGTAAATACCATGAAATAAGGATTAATCTTGATGAACTTATCACATCAAGTAGGAACTGGTTCAAGTTAAGTCTGCAAATTTTTAGTATGTCCCAACTACATTTATCACTGCAATTCCATTTAGCTCTATGTCAAAGATAAATAATTCAAATTGGTGCGAAGTTTTTCAAATTGTCAAAATTTGTGAGGCAAGTAACTCTTCTCTACACGGATTCCTACCAAAAACTTTGTAGAGTAAAAATAAGATAGCACTCATCTTAGAGTACACTTAATACCGCATAAACAGTACACGGTTATGTCGACTATTAAAAGCCAGGTAGAGTCAAATATATTGGAGTCTGGAGAGCACCCATTATGGAGGTCCATGTAGAGTTAAAATAGAGGAGCGCTCGTTTTAGATCACGCTTACTACGAAATAACCGATTGTTTTTCGGCCATTAGCATAGAGTCAAAATAGGAGTGCACTCATTTTCGATGTATAGAAGTCTTAACATCGTAGCTGCAACGATGAAATGGTTGAAAAAAGAGGAAATCTTCTCAATGTACATAATAGCAGCACTTATATGACCTTACCTCCTACAATAACTCCCCATCAGAAGAAGAAGATGAGGACACTTCTACTGTTGTGTAAGAAGCAAGAGATTCCGACAGGAATTCAAGCAAAGCTTCAGTAATGCACAATCACGACTCACAAGTCCATAGTTTCAAATTATAGCTTTTCAAACACTAGTGTTATAGCCATACGGGCACGATAATAAAAAGTCTTATTTTGAATAATTTTGTGCGTTTAATCTTTTTTCCTATCATGTTTAGTTCATCGTTACTTTTATTAGAAGATCCAATGTGACTAGATCATTCACAATACTAAATCACTTGTTATTGAAAATACCAAAGAAAAAAATGCCATATGTTTAAATATGTTCTGCATTTTCAAATGAAAAAAAGTTGAAATGGTATTAGAATATAAGACAATTCTCTACAACACAAGAGATGAGTTCAACATAACGAGTCGCACTTTAAAAATACATGTTAGGTCCAAATTTGTAATTAACAATTTCTAAATTTGTAATTGTCGAATTTCGTATTCAAAATCTGGAGTTATTGAGTTGTAATTAAAGTAAAAATAGCTTTAGGTTGGTAGTATAATCTTTGGAAAAGTCAAAGATGTCAAATAAGGACCAAGGAGAAAATTTTGGTGCAAAACCGCTCATTGGCATCGCATTAAGTGCTCAATACTCAAAATGGGAACAAGCAGCTCGCCTGAAGAATGGCAGAAGAATAGCTGGCTAGGCGCGAGGCGTAGTGCTCGAGTTGCGTATGCATGTGGGAAAATTTTTATCACAATTTTCAAATCGTTTTCCAATCATATTCAACCTCAAACTCTACATATTATAAATACCTGAGCCCAGTCCATACCAAAGGAGTGTTGAATAATTATTATACATTAGAGATCACATTATTGAGGATCCAAAACATCTTTGATTCCTTGATTCAACCACAATATTCAATTCTTCATAAATCATCCCATACATTGTTTTGCCATTGGTTGAGCCTCAATTTTAGTCAAGAGAACATCATTTGAAGATCAAATCCATATTCCAATATTCTCTTACCTTATTCACTGATCAAAACAAAAAAAAAACATATCTAAAGATCAAACACCAAAAACCCTACCTTCACATATAAGCCTTTAGAGTTTTAAAGTTGGGATAAGTGGCACTTAGAGTTCCAACGCTCCTCAGAACAAGTTCAATCTTGGTGATCCATGTGAAAGAAAATAGCTCAAAGTTTTTGGGAAATGTGGGTCGCACAACCAAATGAGTTTCTTAGTGATTTACAAGTTAGGTGCCCTGAGTTAGCTAAGGTTTAGCGGTGTATAGACTAATTATATGTTAACTTTTCTAATAAGTTTTACCAACGAGTTTACCCAGAGGTTTTTAATCTTGAGAAAGAATTTTCCTCCATGATCATATCTGGAGTTATTTACTTTATTTCTTTCGATGTATACGTTCGTGATTGTTTAAACTTAGGGTTAACTATATTTAGAAACAATAAATAAGTGACTTGTTGATTGTTATTGATTAATTCCACATATTTAGGTCTAAATACAATCCCAACAAGTGGTATCAAGGATTTAGTAATTAAACAAGTAGTATCAGAGCTTAATTGCGGTCCTTGAGCTAATTTTATTTAGATGAGTTGATCGTGTTCTGATGAAGGATCTGAGGATGATATGGATATTCATGAAGCTTATGACCAACTGTTTGAGGAAAGTCTCAAGTTACGAAAGGTTAATAGATCAGTCCTTAAAAAACTGAATAAACTTGAATTAAAAAAAGAAAGACTTGTAGTCAAAGTGGAGGAATCTATCAGAGGTCTGGATAAGTTGAAAGTTGAGAAAGAGTCCTTAAAAGTTAATGTTAACACTTTTATTAGTGATTTCAAAAATTAAATGCTCAACCTCAATCTTTCTCTGGCTAATCTAAGAAGATTAATAATATGATAGGTCTCAACAAACCAATAGGGAACAGAGGAGATTTAGCATTAATAAAATAAATTTTCATACCGATTCCTCTTCTAAAAACAAGTTTGTGCCTGCCTTGATCAAGCCTAATGTTCAAAACTTAAAACCTAAAATTACTCATTGATTCATCCCCACTTGTCACCATCGTGGAAAGATAGACACATAAGACCTAGTTGTCACAAACTTTTAAGTATGAACAATAAAGCTCAACATATGGTCCTCAATAGAAGGTTCAAAATTTGAAACCTAGAGTAGCTCTTAAATTCATTCTTACCTATCACAATTGTGGTTAATTAGGTCACATTAGATCTAGCTACCGTAAATCCTTGATTAGGAACAATAAATACAATAGAATTACTCATGTTAGATTCTTGACTAATCAAGTAAGTCACTTGACTAAATTGGTGATTCAATTGACTAAGATTACATCTTCTTTTAAAAAGATTTGGATAAAAAGGAGTGAACTCACATGTCAAAGTGATATTATTAATTGTTGTGTTGATCATGTTGCTCTTCATGGTAAGATCATTTGTTTGCCTCATTGAATATGTTGATAGGTGCATGCATTTGCATTGATCGTGATATCTATATATTCATGTATGCACTCACATTCATGTTATATATATATATATATATATAAACA